ACGCAGTTATTAATGCAGTCTAATGCGGTTATTAGAGAGAGAGATTAAGTGTGTCTATGCGTCTCTCAGCAGTGTTCAGCAGCAGCGTCTACTAATAGCGAATCTTTAAGTTAAACTCCTTCATGAACCTCGCTACTGAGAAATGTCATGTAGCTTTTCAGCTGCGAAACTATTTTACTGATAAATTTGCGGTGCAGCGCTGACAAGAAGTTTCTGTTCGCGTCTCCGCGTGTCTGCACTGTGTGTGCGTCTGTGAGAGAGACTGGGAGAAAGAAAGCCTGATTTCTGTAGCCTACATAAAATAGGTGGAAGACGTGGAAATAGTTTGTCATTTTTTACCCTATTGTTTGTTATATTTATTTGCTCAATGTCTTGAGCAATGCGTAAATCCGGCCCTGTTAGACGGCAATCGGAAGTTATTACAAACACTCGATGGTGGTTTAAAGTGAGTTTAGAGTAAAAGCGGAATATAAATCTTATTTATTGTCTGCATATGATGGGAACTCCACGCAGCTCCCGCGCTACTCTATACTGCTGGTATTACAGTACCACGAGAGCTAAAGAGAGCAGACTGCTCCGTGCGCTTTCGAATCGCTCTCGCGGATGATCGATCTGCGCCGCGCCTCTTCTAGTCGAACACACCGGCAAGTGCTGCAGGCTTATTGGCTCATTGACGCTGATGAGATTAACCCCTTCGGATATCGAAATTTGGTACCGAACGACAAGACGTTTTTCGATACTCGATGGTATCGAGGCAATTCGGTCGGTGCCTAAAAAGTATCGAACTCGATACCCAGCCCTACATGTAAGTGCTGCTGAAGTGGAGAAAAAACTCTTTAACAATATGTATTATAACTGAAATCTAAATGCATAAATAGGTCATGTGTAATAAAATTAAAAAAACATTAAACTGTGTATTTTGGATATTTGCATTCCACCTATATGAAAGAAAATAAGTCATGGAAGCAAAATCTCTAAATTAACCAGTGCAAGAAAAAAACAGTTATTTCAACTTAAAATGCAATCCAGAAAAATGTAAACAGAAAACACAGAATTTGAGACTCACTTCATATGACCTTGTTTCCCATATCACATTAGAAGCGCAACAATGCCGTCTTAAATTGCCACCTTAGAAGGCAGCTCACTAGGATTATAAAAGACCAGGGGCCTCATTTATCAACAGTGCGTACGCACAGATGTGTGCGTAATGAGTGCATAAGAACAGTTTCACGCAAAGTCTGGGATCTACCAACTTGTACTTATACGTAGAAATTTGTGTAAATATAAGCACACCTACGCAGAGAATCTAGTGGTAGAATAGCGACACTACACATAAAAAGCATTTTATAAAACACTCAATTTATCATTTGTCTGGTTTTAAACAGACAAGTTGCGTAATTGGTGTCAAACCCTATAAAAGACAGCTGTGACAAATTTTTGTCTAAGTACAATGGCTTATCTTGCGTTATTGGAAGACTTGACAATGTGCACCGCAGAGAACGCGTTTTCAAAGACCACGCTGAGAGTGAGAGCACAGAATGGCTTCTCAGTCGGTACCGCTTTCTTTGCCATGAGGTGAGGACACATACATTCACGTGATTTATAAAGGGAGGTGTTGTCACCATATCTGGTTCATTGGAGGCGTTTCCGATTGCAAATGACCATGAACGTGAACGAGCATGTTACTAACACTCATGTGGGATTTATCAACAATGATTGCTTACTCATGTGCGTAAGAAACGCGTGCGCACGTTTGATAAATACGGATTTTCTTGTACTTAGGCACATTCTAAATTTCATTCACAGTAGTGCTGGGCGGTATGACCAAAAATTTATATCACGGTATTTTTCAAAATCATAAACACGACCCCTTTTAATACATGTTAACTAGGAGTCACTCTCATTTATAATCATGGCATCGTCTGATAAAATCAGCGGTGAGGAACACTAAAGAGCGGCTATGCGGTTGTTTTGGCTAGATTACTTTTTTGTCTCATGCAGCGCACTGCCTGCATCTGAGTAACAAACTAAAAACAACCACAAATAAAAAAGTGCATGTGATATTAACAGACGAACTACGCTCATATTTATAATTCTAAA